GAAGAGCGCGAAATGTGCGGACTGCAAATAACGCTTCAAATTTCCAATTACGCTGGAAGAGAGGTTTGTTTTCGGGCAGTGTCTCAAAAACGTTTGTCCCTGCTCGTAGTTTTAACAGGAACAAAAGTTGTTGAGACACTATTATTCAGCGACTGCCGAGGTACTGAGTCGCTGCAGATGGCCCTAACACTAAAGCAGCAGATACCTCGAAGATACTGTTCGCTCAATTGGAGACGATTTACGCTAACTGGCGATATCTTTTATTCTCCTCACCTGTTTGCTAACAGTGAGTAGATATTGGAAATGGAAGTAAGATTTTGATCAGTGTTAAATTAGGCACTAAAGTTTTGGGTAATGAAAAAAAAAGTGCTATGAAGAATGGGCACATTTAACAAAGGAACTTCACGGAAGTTGACGAAAACTACAAGATATAAGTATCAATTGGTTAATAGCACGTAATGAATTAGTCACAAAACGCAGCCAATACATAAAATCTCCCATTTATTTATTTACCAAATATTATAAATACACAATCTTTTTCTTGTACTTGGTATACAGACCGGTCGGCCATCTTGAGGAATAAGGCTTGAAATCTTGCTTGTTGTGGCCTGCAAGAGAGAAAGGCTGACAAAGGAGTGTAGTCAGGATCAGCAACATCAGCAGCGTCCACATACGGCACTTCATCTTCTCGCACAACCGCTACACACTTGCAAAGCAGTTTAATACTACTACTACAGTACAATACTTACGGCTGATGTTATACTCGCAAAAGTCGACGCGAGTTCTACGATAGTTCTTCTAGTATTTACAAATGAATTAAAACAGACAACCTAAACATATCTCTTGACTTGACCAGACCAGGAAACACCTAGTAGCAAATATGAAGTGGGCCTAATCGAAGGCAAAGCCTACTGCATATTCGCTTAACTGAAAGTTAATTGATATTTCCTAACTAATCGACGACTTGTCGGGTCGAAACAAGGGGGCCCGGGACGGGACGGGTCTGTTCAGCTGGCGCCGACGACTCCTTGGGACTGCTTACAGTCGATCTTGCTTCCATCTGCGGTGAAGACAACGCCTAGATCTTGTAAGAACTTCAGACACTGCTCATCTTCAGTGAAACCTAACTCGGATTCAACGAAGGAGACAGCTACTGAGGGGCGGTACCTACGGCACAAACAGCACAGCAGGAAGAGGTACACAGGGGCAGGACAGAGAAAAACGGAAAGAAAGCAAAATAACAACAAGTTAGAACGTCATAATACAAAAAACTGGTAAGTGTAAATTTACCCATCTTTAAGAATTTTTTCACGATTTCTTACGGCTACATAGACCTGGAAATTTGCACGTGAAATGAACCAGATCAGGAACACTCGTTTGTGACCATCATAGCACCTCTATGGAAACAGCATAATTTTCTACAGCTTAAATATCCCGTGATTTCCAGGCCTACATCTACAAAACTGAAATTCCATGACCAAGGTGAAACCTATCATACACCAACATGGTTAAACTGAGAAATCTCACATGTTGAAACTAAAGTGCAACTGTAGTGCTACATGTTACCCTTCAAACACCCCAAACACACAAACAACCAAACACAGACAGACAGACAGACAGACAGACAAAATAAACAAATAATACAACACTACCATTAGCATTTGAATACGGAGTGAGCGGGTTTGCCTAAAGATAGTAACAAAGCCTTCGAGGTAAAACCTAGTCACAAGAAGGAAAGGGGAAAGGGGGAAAGGAAAGCCAAGGAGAAAAACGAAAGAATATGAAGAACAATCATTTATGGCAAAGAGCGGTTTTCCAATGACAAGAAGGGGGGAAAAACAAAGGATCAGTTTTGCGCATAACATATTTTTCTGCCAAGGAGCGGCATCAGAAAAGTAATAAACACTTTTCATCAAAGTAAACAAAACTGCCATTCTGAGACAAAGGAAAAATATTCTATAGGTGCACAGTCCAGGAAAACCGCTCTTACAATCTGGGACATAATTTTGACGATCGGCTCATTTCCTCTCAGCTTTATCTAATACTCAATAACTGCCATCGGCAAAAATGATCAATTACACCACGGCACTGAACGCACTTAGCAAACACTGTGCTTCTAAAATTTTTCCACAAAGTGAGGCAAATGAACAGATCGCCAAAGCCCCAGTAAAGAAGAACAAAAACAACCCACGATTTAACCATGGTCTTCAGGGCTTGGACTCTTTCACGCTGTACAAAGAGATCTAAAAGATAGCCTGACATGTTGGGTGCACTCAAGTAGAGCTGGAAAAAAGTGTGATAATTAGACAGAGCCCAAGCTGAGCGTATTAACAATGCATGTCTTATTGCCGGATTTTCCTTCTCGTCTTTGGTTAAACGTGCTAAAGCAGTGGTCAGATCTGATCTACAGTCAAGGGACAACTACACTATTAAACTGCTGATAAAATTACTAGTAAAAGCTTAATATTATCTTAATCAAAATATACATGTCTACCATAATTTTCTTTGAAGAAACAACCATTTCTGTAATCACATGTGCCAACACTCTTGATTTTAAATGACAAGCCCACTGACTACTCAATGGAGAAATGCACTCACTAAACTGTTTAGACCATCTGTTTTCTCCAACATCATGAAGGTCAAGAGCAAAATAGAAACCACCGGAGACTGAACAAGTACAAACATCAGGAGGTGGGAGGTAAGTTAACACTACGTGATCAATCTTTTGTGCTTACTTCACTCACTCGCTTACAACTGAGATGAAAAGAAACGCTGTGCACAGACTAATAATACAACAGCAAAATAAAATCAAGGATACCCAAGGTGTTTTTGGTGAGTATGTAGTACAGTAGTCTATACGCAGTGAATTCTAAAATATTTCCCGGCAAGTTCTCAGCATACAGGGCTTTCAGCTGTGTCTGGCACTGGTTGAACTCTTCACGGTCTCCCTGTAGAGTGGAACATGACCCTCTGGTTAAAATCTGCCCAAAATTAGAAGCTTATTTACAAACGAGGTGCTTCCAAAATAAATTACAGAATAAAAATGCCAAAATTAGAAGTTTCTTACACAAACGGTGCTTCCAAACTAAAATACAGCATCAAAATGCTAAAATACTGCATCAAATTCTGTTGTTTGACAAACTCACAAAATGCCCAGTGTTATCAAATTAGACACATTTCTGCAGCAAAACACGTTTTATGATTGATGTTTGGCCTCATGAAAATTCTAAGCCAAACTGAAAGATTGCGCAAAGTTCTTCTCTTTCATGTGACTTGCTTTTCAGCATTCTGATAAGTCTTGAACAGAAATTGAACAATACTCTCCTTGCATCCATGCAAAGTATGTTTTAGTCCTGTCAATTACTTGTGGATAAAGAAAATCACGAGCACTCAATAACACAAAATCATTCTCTCTCCTTGGTGAAGAACAAATTCAGTAAAGAACTCTAGACTGCCACTCTCCAAATTCAAGGCTGTGGTCTAAGAAAAATTACAAGGAGAGCAAAGGTTCCTAACCATGAAATGTTGGGTGCCCAGCACTTAAGGTGGCTCCATAGGGTAATCATTTATTGCGTTGCACGTGGAAGTGTTATGTTATGTTTGCTTTCCCACCTACATGTAGTCCTCTCAAACTTATTACATGTAATAAGCAATGATTAAATAGTGTTTTGCTATCATCTCTGTTAAAATTTTGGGATTTATAATGGTAATTGAACTGAGTGGAGTGCAATTTG